CAACGTCGAAAGAAGGCAAAAGGGCCAAAAATCGGCCCAAATGTTTTCTATCACGAGGCGGACCAAAGGATCAAATCTCGATTATTTTTTCTTTGGGACAGGAAGGCAAGAAAAGGTTCCTACAAAGCCATGCACAGGTAGCTATCGCAACGATCAACCTCCGCAATTTCTACAATCATTGCGAGACACTTTTCAAAAAAAAATAAAAACTACATAATCTAAAGAAAAAATCTCTACAACACAACAATTTGATCGCGAAAGTCTGGAGACTTTCTTTCTGAGACTCTCGGGCCAAGCCGCCCAGTGTGGTTAGCCGTTTGATAATGGAAAGAAGTCGTTCGTGACATATTCATCGCCAAAATGAAATTCAAAGACATCCAACGCGATCTTTGCATCAGACCGGGTAACTCTCCGGAGGAAACCCTTAAATCAGCTCTCCTTCAAGAGAAAGGATACATCACGGCCTCGCAAAAACAGATGGGTCTCTCAGGACCTACTAATTCAAACGCCAATTCCGGCCAGAACTTTCCAAACTCTATTAAAGTAAAACAAGAAGCAACCCTATCAGTTCAGCGAGAGAACAGCATTCAGAATAGAACTAACCGAGCACAAAACTCCAGAGGAAAATTCAACAACCGACCAAAACAAAACCAACAAACGGAAAGCAAACCATGTTATTTTTGTGGGAAGGAATTCTCCCCCAACCACAAACTCTCATGCCCAGCCAAGAACGTGACATGAAAGAATTGCAACAAAAAGGGACATTTCGCCAGATGCTGCAAGTCCAGGTGCAATGTTGTAGTAGTGGATGATGACTCAGAAATGACTGCAGAAGAATGCGATTTCACTACTTCGGGCAGTGAGCCGGAATACTCAGTTCTGAACGTATCACCAAGGGTCGTAATTACCAATCAGAAACCAAAACCCGAATATTCAGTCAATTAACTGGAAGTCATCAAATCCGCTACTGGGAGAACTAGATGTATACAGATTACACTGAGAGTTAACAAAACATTTTTTAAGGCCACCGTCGACACGGGTAGCCTAGCATCTTTTATCAACAAGAAAACCGCCGATATTCTGGTCGAATCGGGTGCTAACGTTAAATTATTATCAACTTCGGAAATGGCTATCGACACCCACTATGTAGACAACAATAGAAGATTAAGTTGTTCAGCACTTTAATCGCAGACGTCTCCTCACTTGGTTGGCACATTAATTCAGCGAAGTTCCTAGTATCTGAAAATCGCATTAGATGCCTACTAGGCCTCGATCTACAAAGTGCCCCGGGCGTACAAACCACCCAATCAAGACCAATTCCCATCAACGAAATTTCATCCGTATCTACCGATTCAGACAGGTGGCGGAAGTATTTTACAGAGAAATTCAAATATTTATTTTACTAGACAGGGCAGATCAAAAAACCACCGTGTGCACCCGGTATTTAAGGACCCTTTAGTCCCGATCGAAGAGAAGGGTCGGAGAGTACCAATACACATTCAAGAAAAAGTAGGCACCGAAATCAGGAATATCATCAAAGGAGGTCACATTGTGAATCTAAATAATTGTACCAGCGATCATTTGGTAGCACCAGTGGTTATTACTGCTAAAAAGGACGGCACCATAAAACTAGCAATGGATGCAAAACCAGTGAAAGCCCAGATATTCAAAAACCAAACCAAATGACTAACCTGCTGGAACAACTGAACGTTGCCGCGCAAATTATCAATGCTGCTGCAACAAAGTTAGGTATAGTCGATTACTTTTTGCGTCACCCTACATTCGGAGCTCCTCAACCATCAAGTAACGACGAACAGTTCGTTGTGAAATCTATCCAGAATTTCTTTTCCGCCTGCTCAACTGTAAAAAAAGCTTTACAACAAAGAGTGTAATTGTGTACCTAGTCCTAATTTTAAGCAGGATGTATCAAAAAGCATCCGTTGTATAAATAACATTTTGTATATAGACCGGTCTTTTCAGACCAAGAATTCCAACAATTGTGACGATATTTTAGGCAGAAACTTTAATTATTCAGGAAAAAACGCTATTTACAAACTCACTCCGTGAGAGGGCGCCCTTAATTAGATCACAAAATTCGACCAATCAGAATCCAGGAAACTCAATTATGGATGCACACCGCGAGAGGGCGCCACTAATTTTTGCACAGAAACTGGCCAATCACAATCGAGTAAACGCTATTACGGATGCTGGCCGCGAGAGGGCGCGATAATTTATGCACATATATGAGCCAATCAGAATCAAGAGATATACATAAAATACATCCTCGGGTCAAAGTAGTGAAACACGTTCTGCTTGTAACTTGAGAGTGATCTTATTCAAAGTTCTCTAAAGACGTTCTGCTTGTAAACAAGATCCCACAAACTATCACTAATTTTGATGTACGGAGAGTAAAGGGGCTACTCTGGAAGAACTGCCGTTTGGTTATTTTCTAAAAAATGTCGGGTTGCATGCGCAGAATGAGATGGAGTGTTATCTTGCAGAAAAAGTGCGGAGTCGTCCAGAATAGGCAGTACATTGTCACGCATTAAGTCAATGTAAGCCGGAGCATTAAAGCTACCACTGATGCGGCCTAGTTTGCGTAACCCTGAGTAGGTAATCAGCTCAAAAATTATCAATGTCTTCGTTTTTCTTTTCCCACCTTTTGCCAAATATCGCTCACTATACCGGTTATGAGTCCCAGGGGATCACCGAATATACTCTTTCCGTGTGCTGCGGAGCTCAAAAATGCTCTCGTGGGAGAAACAAATTTTTATTCCAGTCTTCCGGAGTGGTTGATTGGTGGGTGCGGTACCACTCCAATCTCTTTCTTCTATGCAAAAAATGGATTTTGGTTTCCGTGCTGCAACGTGGCTGCAGAGTCCGTTTTTAATCAAAACTAGCCGAATATTGATAGCTGACTTAGAATTGCCCCCAGACCAATCGTTTTCAGCTGCCTTGATGTCAGATGGGAGCAGTTTGTGACTAGCTTCAAAAGCCCGGTAATGGAATGGGGGGACATTTAGGGGTTCTTCCTGGGATAAGTTTCGAACAAACGGATCCGGTTTCTTTATAGCATTTAATTATTTGGGCAACAGTAGCCCTTGGGAACCCCAGGTTGCTTCGAATTAACTGATATAGAGTAACCACGGCGTGACTTGGATGCGATCAAAATTCGCAAATTTAACGGGGTGTACATCACCCCCTCAAAATTTTTGTATGTAAAACTAAGAGATGTGTCACTAACTTGCAAGCAGAAAGGGTCACACTATTGAAAAAAAAAAACGCGTAAGTACCAGTCACCACAGTCGTTCCACGATTGCAGTTCATTTTTGTCAGCTGTCTCAATCATAATTCACTTGATTGTAAAAATAAGTTAGTTATTTTGTGGTCTCACTGTGTTTGAACTTTTTGTTAATTTCAATTGCGTTTTATACTAAGCTACGTATGTGTTTTTGCTCTTCTTCGTAGCAGGAAGTTTGTGGAAAAATGAACCGTGATTATGGAATGAACATGTTCGTTCGCTCTCGAATTTTGCCAAAAAACTGCAAAAAGTAGTGTACGTTTCTGCAAAAAAATTATATCAAAAGTGGATTTTAATTGATTGTAATGGATTACAATGGATTTTTGTATTTTGAGCATAATCAATTATAATGGATTAAAAATCTATGAAATTTTCTAAGTCTGCAAAAATAATCGATCAAGTAGACAACATTTAAGTCAACTAAATCCAATATTGTCGACTTTTATCCACGAAACGGTTGGAGAAAAAGTGAAGAGTTTAAAAACTGCTTAGTTTTTCACCGAAAAATTGCTATCAAAATTTTACCCCAAAACGGTTCACTTTGATTTTTTCAGATAACCACGAGTTATTTAGAAATTCCGAGTTTTGATGAGATCATTGTATCAGGAGAAAAATTTTATACAGCCCAAAAAAGCTCTATAAAAATTAAATCCTAAAAACTCTTTAAAAGAGAGTATTTTTTTGGTTTTTTGGTGATTTTTACTTAATGAAGCTCAAATCTTTGTTTAAAAACAAGTTTCAATCGTTTTGCGCAACTTTGTGGGGATTGTTTTTCTTAAATTTTGTTGGGCTGTACAACAATTTTTTTCTGATATAATAGTCTCATCAATGATTCGGTAGTTCTAGAGTAAATTTTGATCAAATAAAAAAGCCATTATGACTCATTTTTGTGGTAAAGTTTTGAGTTGTGTATTTCGCAAAACAATTTGAACAATAATATTTCTGATGAAATTTCAAGCAATTTTTGTTCTCCTCACTTTTTGTCTAATCTCAATCTAATTTGAGAAGAATGCGATTTAAGTTTCAATATTTGTTCGTTTTTATCGTTTTTATCGAGATACATCAAACCAGCTCCAGCAACCGACATATTTGTTGAAAAAACGGGCAAAAAATTGCACAAGATTTTGTCTATAGCACTTTCTTTAGAACTTTCATAAAATTTGTAGGTTTGGCTGAACAAAAATGGGTGTCGTAAGTTATTACAAACCGCCCGCTGTCATTTACAAAAAATGTCTCAGAGGATCGGAAAGTGTAAAGTACTTGAATACGCACTCTATCCCCCACCCACTTATTGATATTACCCCTCATCACCAAGAGGGTCCCCCTCTGCTACTATTTAACCCATTTTTGGTCAGTGGTCATCAACCGTAAGTGTTTTGATGACAACCGGCGCCATCGGTGTTAAAAAACTGTAAACTTGACAGACGAGAGCGCGCCACAAAGACACCATTTTAGGCAAAAAATCAAATTTTTGAGTAAGTTTTGGTTAAATTTTTTGAAAAAAATATGCCTCCCTTCCCTTCGGGAAAATTCAAGATCGGCCTCCGCTCCAAGCATTGAATTAATATTACCAATCATAATTTTCTGGGAGTTTTTATTTATGAAAAACAGAGTGTAAAATTTGGTTTATTTACTGGTCAATATTTTTTAAAGCTTGTGTAATAAATTATCCTTCTAAAATAACAGTTCAAAAATTTACCTTTGGTATAGCTGTTAGTGGAGATATTTCAATCAATAAAATGTTTCTTAAAGAGCTCGAATTTCAGATTTGATAAGAACTTAAAGAGAATGGCTGAACAACACGGACCTTCAATTTAGGACAGGTAGCTATTATCATTTACACGCCAAATCCTGCTATTACTTTGTCCAGGCTCGATAAAAAGCAGCTAATGCCTAAGAAATGTAGAATTGATTGATATAGAAATTAACTTATAGTTTTATCTCTTTGTTTCTAGAGGAAATCTCATTTGATGAATTAAATTGTAAAAAAAGTTACTGAAAAAACTGGCAGAATTTTGATGTAAGAATCTCAGCACAGATCAAAATCTGATCACCTTTACTTAGAGAAAGAAATAAAAGAGTCAACCAGAGGCAAATCTGCTCTCAGAGAAGTTGGCTAATCGCCCAATCAGCTGGTCGGAACTTACCAATTGCAGCCGCGGTATGTTGGATACCTATTGGTAGACAACAAATTAGGTCACAGAGCATTTCTGTGGTCCCAAAACACACTTACTTACCTGGTGCTAGTTTTCAGGGAGTGAACATATTGTACAAATAGGTATAAATATTTGTCCCAAATGTAGCTGTGGTTTGAAAGTGATTGGAGCTGGCCGTTTACTTGCAACAAGTCTATCTCTGAATTGTTGCTTGATCAAACCGCACTGTATTTTCTTAGAGCTATCAACACAGCTAAGTGGGTCCTTTGAATCGTGTGGAGTAGAGTCTAAACAAGCACCTGAGGAATTCTTAGTGAAAGATTCTGAAAATCTATTTACAAACAGATATGTGAACAGAAGGCAATATAGACTAAATTTGAATCCACCTAATTTTTTTACGTTGTAGAAGTTGAACAAAAACATAAATACCAAACTCCAAACATTCATTATTTTAAAAACCTTCAAAATGTCTTCCATCTTTTTGGTGGAAGGTAAATGTGTCGCTTCAAAGAAAATTACGAAATAATTGTGCTCGTTTGCTTCATTCTACAGTCAAAAATAGATCAACTTTTGACAATTTTATAAACATATTCTCAAAAACAATGATGCCGTGAGATAGAAATGCAGGTGATGTTTCGCCTGTTATTGAAAGGATATTTTGTGAACCAACAGCATTTTGGCGCCAATTTGGGATTATTGTTGCTCGCTTTCACAAGTTTTTTTGAAACGCGGCGATTTTGAAACATTCCAGATATAATTTATGCAGCCTAATTATTTAACCTTGCGTGTTGGTGCCCTGGTTGACCTTCATGCAGCAAAAATGCTTATCATACAATTGCATACATCAAGTGTGGGGGAAAATGTTTGTCATACAATTTTCATACAGTATCGAAAAAAGGTTGAAAAAAGATAAAAACTAAATTCTGCGGCAGTTTGATTCTAATAAAACAGTCTGGTGATAAAAAACCGATGGTTTTTTTTTAAAATGCTTATCATTTAATTCCCATATATGGAAATTGTATAACTGACATTTTTTCAAGGCGACACAAAAAAAGTTGAAATTGCCCCAGACATTTTTTTGTTTTTTTTTCAACCGCAAATCGAATTTTGTACGCAAGCAAACATTTTCCAAAAAAACTTTTTTTTGCATGCAAAATTTAATTTTTTGTGTGCATAACGTATTCCTGGATATGATAATGTTGTGTTTTTTTCCTTTTTGCTATAAAATTTTCTCAAAAACGCCGAAAATTCCTCTTTTTTTGTATGGCGTGTTTTCATATGCCTTGATCAATGTCTGACGATTTCTTTTTTTAAAAAAAATCATCGTTGAAAGGGTTTGTCAAAATTTAAAAGTTTGATACTTTCGTTACATCATTTGTGAAAAATAGCTCTACTCTAATAAACTTCAGGTCGTATAGATTGTAAATGCAAGACGTCCAACTGGACGATATGATTGGTTTTCTTTAACAAATAAAATCCTTAGTTTAAATTTAGATTAATCAAACACTTGATCAAAACATAGATGTTTTTTCCTGGATAAAATCAATGGGAGACTGCTAATTATTGCATTTTGAAAGCCAAGCATTTTGAAAATTAGGATTGAATCAGTTTGGCGGATTAAATTAGTGTCTTTTCTACTACCAAATAGTGACGCCAGACAATCTAGCAAATTTATAGCCTAACGAAACACTTTTTATTCAAAAAAAAGCAACTCTAGAACACAAGCTTTGCAAAAAAATACAAAATTATCATTTTATGTTTTGATAAGTCAACAAAGTACGAATATCAGAGTTTCTTGCGACTCAAATAAAACAACCGATGAGTTATACAAAAAACCCTGCATATTAAAAGTAGGATCAGATGCAGTTGAAGTAAATTTGCTATTTACCCGCACCGAGCGCCCATGGATTTTAATCGATTCGAATGGATTATTTAGACAAAAAAAAACCTTTATAATTCCTTATAGATGTGAAATTCAGACCACGAAATTGATTATAATGCCATTATAACGAATTATTTAAATAATTAATTCATTTTTTTGGCGGCACTGAAAATGATTATTTTTGCCAAGATAATTTGCTATATTCCATTATAGTTGGTTAATCCATTTTATTTCTAGAACTAAATTCAATTAATTCTGCAAAAATTTGAAAATTTTGCAGGAAATTTGCAAAATGTATGCTATGCTTTTTACTCTTAACGCCATGTCTCAACGTCACCCCCTCAAGCTTTTTGCCTTCCCCAACTAAAAAGAGGGGGGAGGCGTTAAACTGGGGGTGTTTATCATTAATCCTCTCCACAAAATCAACCAACAAATAACCTGGGGCTGGGGCGAATGGCAGTTGTGGTAAGCTGGCAGGGGGGTAAAAACGGGAGGGGTTTAACCAGCACGGGGCCAAACGGGGGAGGGGTAATGTATATTGGGGAAGAGGTTAAAATAAACTGGTAAAGTAAACTGCAGGGGGAAGGGGGCGGTGAAGTAAACAGCTTGCAGCTTGGGGGGGGGGGAGGTAAAATAAACGGGTTTGAGGGGGGTTTAATCAGAACAAATAAAGAATATAAAAGACAAAAAACATATAATTTTTAACGTAAAATGTAACCTTATTTTGAAACGTATAGCAACTGCACTAAACAGGAAATGAGATAAATTAAAAAAAGTTGTAAATTTCATAAATAACGTCTTGAAAAAATGCATTATAATCAATTATAATCGATAACAATGAACTATTTTGGCATAAAAATATAAAGATTATAGTTCATTTTTGATTATAATGGATTATATTGACCTATATAAAATTTGTGATTATAATTCATTTTTAATGGATAACAATCGATTATTTTGTAAATTTATAGATACTAACCATATGATGACAATATAATCAATTATGCTCCATGGGTATTCAGTCTGTGATTTTTTCTCGAATTATGTTTAGGCTGTGATTCGTGAATTAATTTAAGTTGCTATCATTGCGACCTAAAGTCTTCACGCTTAGACCAAAAAACAACAATTCAAAATGCGACTCATAAAAAGAAAACACCAGTTTTTGAACGACCAAAAAAATTAGTCGCGACTTTGCGCAACCGATAATTCGGCGCGGCTTTGCGCGGCCGAGAAAACTTGGGAGGAATTTGCACCAAAAAAAAACTTGCACAAACCAAAAACGATTAGTTGCCAAATTTTCAATTATTTTTATGAAATTAAAGAGCATCACAAAATGGGGAATGGTGATATCAAAAGTGGAGTGAGGAAATTGGTTAACGTGGGGAGGATGTAATTAGAGATAGGAGAGGTGGACGATTATTTTGTTTACCCCGGGTTGACCAAAATGTGCAACCATACGTCGCACCATGCATGGTTCCATGGAAGCCATGAAAAATTGCCGACGTTTATTTATGTTAAAATAACACATTTTCATGCATGATGCGACGTATGGTTGCACATTTTTTTTGTTATGGGGGACTTCAAATCAGAAAATTTTGACACTTTTACCGGAGCTGTTGAGAATTGATATGTTACCATGGATGCTTGCAATGTATGGTTACTATGGTATCATGCATGGCGCGACGTATGGATAACATGAAAACATATGGTGCGACCTATGGTTATCAAAGAACCATACTTGGCGCGACATAGAGAAACTGAATAATCAAAGAAATTCAATATTCTCGTGGGTTTCCAGAAAATGCTCTGAACGATCTCAAAGACGTTGGTAGTAAAAATCTTTTCCCGCCGTTCAGAGCACAAATTTGGTTCCCAAGCAAAGCACAGTATTCTCCGATGTATAAAAATATACCTGTAATGCGGAAAATTTTACCTGATGAAGCTGGAAAACATATCTGGCGATGGCTGAATAACTGTTTCAAAAAACTGTCTAAAACAAAACAAACATTTCAGAAACATGCAAAAATTATCAATAAGCAAAACAACAGAATGATCATCAACAAAACAATTCAACACAGAGGGGAAGCGGAGCTTCACATCACGTGCGATACATCACTTGCGATACCACCATGTCTATCTCCCATGCAGCAATCGTTCATGTCTACCCCCCCCCCCCCCCCCTGTTTTTGCCATCAACCATCAAGCTTTTTCCCCACATTGCGCGACCTTGCGCGATCCAAGAACTTTAAGACGCTGAAAGCGAAACATCACGTGCAACGACAGCTTCCTTTTCTATCAAGTTGTTGTAACAAAATTTTTTTATACTTAGATTATTGAAAACTTTGTACATCTAGATTATTAAAATATTGGATGAAGTTTAATTCCAATTAAGCAGAGATCGGGTTATTTTGAACCAGAGTAATCAATACTTTTGCTGTCCAAAATTACTGGAGGTAATTTAGATTCAAAGATTAATCTGTATTCAGTGGCATGCGCAAAAATTTTTTTAGAGGGGGGGGGGGGGGAGGGCGTTTTTTGAAGTTCTGAAAGTTTTTTCGACCAATCTGTTATTTATAGGTCGACCAATCTGATTTTCCGAGCTCTTCGAAAGTACTATAAGGTACCTTATTTTTTGAGCAAAATTACTGCGCCGCGGGCAAGTTTTTCAAATAACAGGCCAAAAAATCGTTTTTAGGCTCTTTTTTGAAAATTTTTGATCAAAAAATTGCGTTTCTTCGGCGCGCGCTCCTTACACTCAAAATTAGTTAAACTGGCGCCAAAGGCGCTTGTAGAAAAATTTTGAGGTTATTCAGCCAAAAATGGATGTCGTTAAGTCATACCAAAGCGGGGAGCCTTTGAAAGTTTTTGGTAACCAGAAGTGAGGGAGGGGGGTGGTCGCCAAGCCCCCCTCGGCCTGCTACTGTCCGTATTGAAGCCAAAGTCAAGCACAAAGTCAGGGAGAAGAAAATTTATAAAAATAGGAGCATCTATAGAAACAAATGTGCCATACTTAGAGACTACGCTAGACAAGTTACTAACTGACAACTGGTGAGATTCGGTCCAAATCTTTTGAAAAAATGCAAGTCATGAAGACTAACTCAATGTCGATAGAGTTCACTGAGATAGTTGTTTTTAAGAATGCTGAGATAGTTTTAAATTAAGAATGCTTTTACAATTTATAAGAAAAGCTGGACCTATTAGCAATCAAAAACCACCCACCACTAGAGTGAAATTGAGCCATTTTTTTCTATCACAAAATGTTCTATAGAGTTAGATGTTCTCCAGTTTTACGAAAAATAAAAACATACTGTTGCGTTGGCTTGGCTGTGTTTGGTTGTTAATTTGTGTTTTGATAGTTGCTTAATTAAAAAAAAGTTTCAATTATACTTTTTTTTCTGTTTCCAGCTGTCCAATACAAAATATTCTGATGAAAAGATACCGACACTTTTTTAAGGGAATCAAGAAGCTAGTTTTAAGATGAACAACCATCTTGTTTTTTAAAAGATATTAACTTGACACTGTTTTTACCTCGGTGTTGATACAGATCGATACAATGGTTTCACGTGTCGGACACAAAGAACTATTTAATTCTTGCAAAAATATTTTCTTCAACCTAAAAAATTGGAAACTGTTCAGTGATTGAATGCAATATCCTCATTATGGCTTTTGTCCTAAAGATCTCTAATTCGAATAAAATTTTACAAGATTATGTGATATATGAAGTTCTTACTTTTCTACGCTGATTATCAAATGAACCATTTTACTTTCAGTTTTTTCAAAAATAGCGGGAAAATATTATCAGTTTTCTAATTTTGTTTGTAAAAGTGACTGACTTTTTTGACATCTGAAAAATAAACAGCAGCTAGAAGCGATCAGAGAAAAGCTGCAAAGTATTCCTTGATTTGAACAAAAAGTGAATCGCTTGCTCTTATAAACATTGTAAATTTCAGAAGAAGGCAAATTAAGCTAAAAAGAATTTTCAAAAATGGGCGATGCTAAATGCTGCTGTATTATCGCTACCTCATTTGCTGCTGTATCTTTCTTTTTTCTCGTTCTTGCAATTCCAGTTCTGAATTGGTAAGTTAGTTCAGTTTAATGATTCTGTTGACCCATTTTTAAACAACTAAGTTATCGACCGATGCTATTCTAAAATAACTTTTTATTAATTTACTCAACATGAAAATTTCCATAGGAAGCATGAAAAAATAAATTGAAAACTGGAAATATGTTGTAGAGTTTAGAAAAATCCCATTACAAAAACCTCGTTAGACAAAAAACGTACATACATTTATATACTCCAGTGGACAAAATTAAAATCAAGTTACCATTTGGAACCAGATCTAAACTATTTAGATTTTATTCTTTAAAACGCTTAATTTCAAAAACCACTTTTGACAATATTTCATTGGAATTTTAGCTCAACCGACTGCAAATGACCTGAATTATCATCTTTTGATTTGACACATAGAATAGTGTTTTTGCGGGTGTGAAAATGCGAGTTTCAAACATAAAATAAAATTTTCCGAAAATGTGTATAGGAGAAATACATTTTTGTCTGAATCATGAATTGAACAGAAAAAAAAATTGAAATCTGACAGACAGTGGGCCCCTTACATCAAAGAAACAAAGTTCATATATCTCAATCCTTACTCTCATGCACCACCGACTCTTTCTTGCTCTCATCAACCCTCGAGCAAGCTACTTTGACTGGGAGCCAATCCCCAGTCTCATGCACCACCGTCTCTCTTACTCTCATGCACCACCGACTCTTTCTTGCTCTCATCAACCCTCGAGCAAGCTACTTTGACTGGGAGCCAATCCCCAGTCTCATGCACCACCGTCTCTCTTACTCTCATGCACCACCGACTCTTTCTTGCTCTCATCAACCCTCGAGCAAGCTACTTTGACTGGGAGCCAATCCCCAGTCTCATGCACCACCGTCTCTCTTACTCTCATGCACCACCGACTCTTTCTTGCTCTCATCAACCCTCGAGCAAGCTACTTTGACTGGGAGCCAATCCCCAGTCTCATGCACCACCGTCTCTCTTACTCTCATGCACCACCGACTCTTTCTTGCTCTCATCAACCCTCGAGCAAGCTACTTTGACTGGGAGCCAATCCCCAGTCTCATGCACCACCGTCTCTCTTACTCTCATGCACCACCGACTCTTTCTTGCTCTCATCAACCCTCGAGCAAGCTACTTTGACTGGGAGCCAATCCCCAGTCTCATGCACCACCGTCTCTCTTACTCTCATGCACCACCGACTCTTTCTTGCTATTATGCATCACCACCTTTCAGCAAAATCCCCAAATTCTACTGCGTACCTTAAAATATCAATCCTTAAAATATCAGTAAATATACTGGAGAAAAAAGTAACGCAACTAGAGAAATTGAAACCAAAAATTGAGGGGATATTTCTGAAACTACAAGATGAATTGGTTACTATTAGGTTAGTTTTTGCCCTTAGATTGTGATAAACCTAGTTTTTATTTGAGAAATTTACAAAAAATTTGAGAAATTTAAAAACATTTAAAATGAGCTCATTTTTTGAACCTATTATCGAAAAATTTTAGAGCAGTTTTTGCGAAAATGTTTTAAGCTGAGCGAGAAAACGTGATGTGAAGCTGAATCTCTCAAAAAATTAAACAAAATTTATCAGTATTTACCGTTTTTTTTAGAATCAAAATGTGGGAATTTTGTTTTTTGATGCAAGGGGCTCACTGTTGGTGAGATTTAAGTTTTTTTTCTGTTTCAATTCATGGGTCAGACAAAAATGTGTTCCCAGCGTTTTGTTTTGACAGAAGGAAGGAAAAATTTTGTAGAAAATTTTTTTGAGTTTCGAAAATTGTTTGATTGCGTTACTTTTTTCTTCAGTATATACTGAAATTTTTTTTTTCGAATTTGAGAGATGAAATTTCCTATTTGTTTTCTTGCCCGGCTTAGAAAGTTCTCAAAACAATTGCTGTGCTTTTTTCAATAAAAGTCTAGAAAAATGAGCTTTTTTTAGTTGTTTTTGTTAAGTTTCTCAAAACTTTTGCAATTTTCACAGATAAAACTAGGTTTATCACTGTCTAGGGGCCAAAACTAACACATTAACTATCAATTTTTTTTGTCTGTTCACAAAACATTCTCTCATTTTGTTTTTGATATATCAAGTTGCGTTATTTTTTCTCCAGTGTATATGTATTGATCTTTTGAATGAAACATTTCTTGCCATGCAAATCCATAAGTTTCTGTTCGTACAGGAAGTAACATGAAATGCCAAATGGCAAGCAGTTTTGCGTTAGTATCTATGATATGCATTTTTCTTTAAAAGAAAATTATTCGACAAGCATTTCCGATTTAAGAAAAACACGTCGTCTATGTTTCGCTTTATAGTTTTTGACTGTATTTTGTCTGAAGAGTTTTCTTAAATTAGAAAACCCTAAGGTTAAATGGTCTAGCGTTTAGAGATTTGCCATGCAATGTGTTGTGTTAGTTTTTTAACAGTCAAAAATTTGACTTGCTTTTTATTTTTTTTAAATTGCACTTAAATAGTAATTCTTTATTAAAAGTTTTGATTCATCTGACATTTGATCCTTTTGACGTTTCTATATTGTTAATCAAGAATAACTGAAGGCCAAAACGCATAAATTTCGAATATAATTTTTTTGTTGCGATAACTAAAATGGTTTTGAAACTAAGATATGGAAGAATTTCTGTTTCAATTTTTGATGTCTTACAGCGTAAAAATCGCTTACCATACAATTTATAACATCAAGTTTGTATATAAAGCAATTTTTTATATTCATTGCATGGTTTTTCAAGATAATATTTTTATTAAGTTGAAAAATATGAGCAAATTTTGCTGGTCAACTCATCCGTTCACTAAATGTAGATGCTCACCACTTGAAGCAATCTACTTTATGTAGATATTCAATTATTTTAGGCGAAGTAGAAAGATGAAGTTACTGTTAATAATTAAATATAGTTTCTGGGTTTTTTTAATTTTCATTTTTACACTTGCAAAAGCAAATGTCTTGTAATCAGGGCTCTTTTTCATCCCCCCCCCCCCACACGCCAGTTTCAGCTTATTAGTGTAACGAGTGGTTTTACGAGGTTGAGTATGAAGACCAAATATGTTTGTCGTGGGCTTTTTAGTCTGTAAATTTTCATAACAATCGGACAATGTGGTCAACAAATTTACATGTAAGAATTTGCAGGTGGGGGGAAAGGAAAAAGAGCCGTAATCAGGAGCTAGAGGTTTTTTCCTATTAAAAGTTTCCTACAAATGTTACCTGCTTTTCTTAATTGCTTTATTATGGAAGCTTTTAAACATCCAGGCTCGTTCTTACTTAGCCTGGACGTAACGCCGTCGTTTTCGCACCCTAAGGTCTGGGATTCGAGTCCCGGCCGGACTTGTTTTTTGTTCAGTTTTTAATCAATTGAAAAAACTTTCCGGTAAAAATCTACTGGTCAAACTTTAGTTTCTCTGCTCAAATTTTGTCGGCTTAGTGCCACTTGTCCGGTTTTGCTTAAGCTGTAAGCAACCTTCACTGTAGTTTCATGGGTTAGTCGTTCAAGGTAGTTTCTTGGGGGTTATTGAGAAAGTTAAATTTTTTATAAAGTCTCTTTTTTTTTCCAGTTCCACTTGTCTGCTCAATTATTGTCGATTTAGTTGCCCCATCACAAATTTGTTTTGTAAGCCTTTGTCTTGTCCTGTAAGCTCCGCTTTAGCTCTGGGCTTAGGCTTGTGACTAGCAAGCTAAAGGAAATCGAATCTAGACTTCTTTGGGTTAAAGAATTGTGTAACAGTACTTGAATTTTTTGTGATGCTTCTGTGTTGCTTTCAAGTTCTTGAAAAGTCAAAATTTGCTACTCCTCACTAGTAGTAGCACTGCCTTAACGGCTAAATCTTGGATTTCAACCATTGTATATATGATTATAGAATATTTATGCTGATGATTTTTCGGATTCATACTTGACGAATTCAGCTCTGTCAATTTAGTTTTCATCTTCTGCATACCACCTTGCACGCATATATCTTTCGTGGATCCAACGTAGATCGTAGATGCATTTCTTGATTTTATCATAAAAAATCGAAAATCGTTGGTCCATTTTTGGCATATTATTTCCGGCTTATATTCTGCCGGATTAGTAAAAGGCAATGAGCGTAGTGAAGATTCTTAAACAGGTCTTGTTATTTTTTATGGAAAAATTCTTCATCTTAAAATTTAGTTCTTTTACTTTGCTACTACTATTTTTGAAATATGGGTTTCACCTTTCAGACTTGCGAGCAGACTAGAAGTTTAATAAATTAATCCAGTTTTCTCAAATTGAGTTAGTTTCACAAATTAAGTGCCACTCATAAGTTTATCTTGATATCTATAGAGCTTTAAGGCCATATGTATTTTTTCTGGAATTCAAAACTTGAAGTTTTTTCACCAAACAATTCAGTTTTTTTTTGTTTCCTCCCTTCACTGACCTTTTTCAAACTGTCTGTTGGCTATGCTTTACCTCATGTTTTTTTTCTTAAGTTTTTGTGTACTAATTTTCAGATTGAAAAGTATCTGGCACCAAAAAATAAACAGGAAACAAAATCGGCTTAATTCAAGAGAATCAGTAAACGGCCATTTTTAAAGTAATTTATATTGCACGGAATTAGCAACAACATTACACATATAAAATTAAAAAGTGGGCTTGTTCATGCGCTGATTTTGTGTTTTTTATGTGTTTTTTCACAATGAAATCATACTTAGTTCATGTAGTTTAATTAACAGAAACTCAATTGCAAACCAATCTTGAACCGATTAAAGTATTAGCATTTTATGTTCTGTCAGGTTCGGCTCAAATAGGATTCTCAAATGAAACGACTTAGCAAGAATCGAACCCACGCCGAACTCCCCGGAAAGAACTATGTATAAGCTGGGCTATATAGCTAGTTTTGCTAAGCAACTATACTAACTTTATACTATACTTTCAACTTTAATGCTATATTGCATTAACATCCTCCACCCCCGAAGGAACGAGAACCAGAACGAGCTTAACGAGCGGTCGAATGTAGTTTCCGGAAAAGGTCCTAAGGTTTGCGGAGCG